TACACTCAATAATTTTTTTTCGATGGGAGGATCTTTCTTGTGTAGCGCATCTTCTGAAAAATGCATTTTTAAACAGAATTTGTTCTATGAACTAATTCGATAAATAAAGCCATTTTTGATGTACAGAGTGGGTCACTCAAAACAGTTTCATCCTGTTTTTCAGCATTAATCATTGGATTTTAAGAAAATGCTAAAACAGGTTTATTTTTATTCCAAATTAAAAACATTTTTACAATACAAACATCTGTCATGTGTCGACCCCCTCCTTGCACTTCTCTAATACCTTAATTTTAAATAGGTAATGTACCATGTATAATACATCATTGAAAAGGGGGATTCAGAAATATTTCTGTACATTGCGTTACTTAAATTTTATCGCCCTCTAACGGGATAAAAAACTACTACGTATTAGTGTGACACTACAATGTGTAATACATCATTAAAAAGATAATTTTATGGGGAATTTAGAAATATGACTGTTCATTGCGATATTTTTAATTGTACCGTCCTTTATTGGGATAAAAAAACTGTACTATTATAAAGTGTGATATCTAATTTTAAAGCAAATTGAAATAATAATTTAATGCACCACAACATTAATATAAATATCCTCCATATTGCACTTGCAATAGTTTGAAAATTAGTCATGCATTATTTTAAACATTATTGCTAACTTTATTTTGTTGCAAGTGCAATATGGAAATATTTATATTAATGTTATGTGGTGCATTGAATTAGTAATTTAATTAGCTTTCAAATGAAGTGTCATATTTCTGACTTCCTCAGAAAATTACCTTTTCAATGATGTACCGTATATGGTACATTCCTTATTTAAAATTAAGGGGTTGGAGAAGTGGAAGGGAGGGGGTTGACACATGACAGATGTCTGTATTGTAACAATGTGTTCAATTTGGAATAAAAATCGACCTATTTTAGCATTTTCTAAAAATCCAATGATTAATGCCGAAAAACGGGATGAAACTGTTTTGAGTGACCCACTCTGTATATCAAAAATGGCTGGATTTATCGAATTAGTTTACAAAACAAAATCTGCCTCAAAATGCATTGTTTACAAGATGCGCTATATAAGAAAGATCCTTCCATCGAAAAAAAAAATATTGAGCGCAACGCCATCTACATATTGACCTATTTAAAATTAATTTATTACTTAAACTGAAGCTCTCTTAGCGCTCTATAAACTGGCTTTTACAGAATTAAAATATCTCTATTACTTACCAAAATATCCAGCCTGGGACTTTTTATTGGTACACAATTGGTATACAATTATTATTGATTGTGCCATTTGTATTTTTTAATGAATGGTCAAGTTTAATGAGATATACTTAACGAAAAGCTGTCCATTGAATTTTTCTTCTTGCCAAAGACTACATATTAAGAAATTCATATCTAATAGATACAAATTATGAATACATTTTAAACTTAATAATAAGTAAATTTAAAAATCTGATGTGTCCAACACATAACTTTCCTATCTAGTTATCATAGACTTTTTCCGGTTATTTTGTACAACCTATTGCAGCACCTCTATAAATGTTTAGAGGATAAACTAAATATACAGGGTGTTTCAAAAAGGTATGTCACTTTCGAAAAAAAAAATCCGGGAACTGAAAATTATTATTATATATTATCAACATTATTAATTCAAAACTACCCAATAACTAAAAAAAAATTTTTTTTTTTTACATTTTTTTTATTTTTTTTATTTTTTTTTTATATGAAAACCACACATTTTTTATTTTTTTTTAAATTTACAATTTTAAGCTTTTATTAATTAATAGATTACCAAAAAATAAGTGGATTTGGCTATATTTACCTATATCAAAAACTGGTTTTCAACAAATTTTTTTTTGTTGTAAAAAGTTTGCTGCTGCGATTTTTTTTTTCGAAATTTTTGCCTGTGCTGAAGATTTGAAGGCCCAATATTCTAAGGAAAAAAAAATTAAAGCGACCCGTTTAAAAAAAGTTGGGGGTTTGGGTACCTTTTTTTGACCTAAATAAACTTGCTTTATCGATCCTAAAATCAAAAAGAACTACGATTTTTAAAATTTTTTCATAGTAAAATGAACTTTGTATCTTTCTTAGTTAACGAGCTATTTACAATTTTTTAACTGAATTTCTAGAGCAATTCGTCCGTCCTGGACTTAACATATCAAAATATACATCTTTTATTTATATTTTTGTAAAAAAGGTCTTTATAATATTGAATTGGCGCCATAAAAATGGTTTGCCACCCGTCCTCATGGGTTCACCAGCCACTGATAAAAATACACGTTAGTTAGGAAATGTATTTATTAAATTTAATAGTAAATAATAAAAATATTTTTTTAAATAAACAATTAACAAAAAACTAACAATTAAAAAGAAATATTTGGTAATAATTATTATACATATTTTATAAAACTATTTAATTTAGTAAATATTCAACATGTCCTCCTTCTTGAATACAAAAATATAAATAAATACAAAACTGAGGAAAAAACGGGTATAAATCGTGTAAAGGACCTAAATAATACTTTGAGAAATACAGTGAAGACGGGTAAGCAGTAGAAGTTGAATTCTAACGCTGCTCCTGTCGAAATGCCACATCTTTTTGACGTTTATATCCCCTAAAAACCGGATTAACCGTAATCCAAGGTCACGTGTCCGGGCAAGGGTAAGGGTGTGCATAGACCTGCAGTAATGTCTTTGTTTCAAGTCCACTGACATTCAATTATTGCGAGCAATAGCCCGAAATAATGTTAGATTGATAGTAAAATAGCGAGGTTTTACGACCGGGATAACGCCGGCTTCAAAGAAAAACGATTTTCCGTTGTGAAAAAAGTTTTTTATTTAATATAAGAACGGCACTTCTATAGTGCGGTTCAATAAATCAGATACGTCCCTATAAACATTGAAAATGATAGCAAATCTCCAACGAAAAGCGGTTGCCCGTTCAATGATTTAGAAGTCACATTTGACATTGTAGATTTGCAATGGCATAAATATCGGATAGAATATGGGCTATATAAATGCTAAGAACCAAAAGAGATTGATATCTACATATTTCCAAGTGTAAGACCATATCAAAAGAGGAGAGCGTAGGATATATACCTAACAAAACGTTATAACACAATTATTTTAAGAGCAAATCAGACCTCTCGCGATAGCAAAAATGTTTTAAGGATTTTTCAGTATAAAATTGTATTTATATGCGCGCCACTAGACATACATCGCTATATTATGTACCTCGATGTACCATTTGGAGCTTTAAATTTGTGAAACGATAAAGCAGCACTCTACAAAGACGTTTAAGTAAAAAAGGTGGAAATCCTCCCGTTTAAAAGCTACCAGATATTAATTAAAACAAAAGGCAGCAAATTTTCGTAGATTTTATACAGAATTGCGCGTAAATATTCTTTTAATTCCTTTTAAACATTTTCAAAATAAATATTTTTCTAAGGTTTACAATAAATTCAAGGATTCTCAACCCTTTCTTTATTTTTATCTTTTTTGGTTGTAAGCAGGTAGGGTTAGGTTTGGCCCAGAACACTGTGGCCTCTTGGGTCTATTGTATTCCCCTACTTTCCCGGATTCAGGTACTATCTTTGGAATAGTCCTGTGTCTTTGCTTAGTTTTAATAGGTTCCCTACCAAGTGTTCCTTTGGCGTTCTTTCCTGATTCTGTGCCCTCTGATCTGTTGCCAGTGAATTTGGCGTTTTGTGGTTATCCACCTGTTCATTGCCTGTCGAGCAGAGGTTTTGCTTATCCCACATACAGGTTTGAGTCCTGTGAATGGTAGATCTGATCCCTCTTTGGCGAGTTTATCAGCCTTTTCATTTTCGTGGATACCTTTGTGCCCTGGCACCCACACTAGTTTTACCTTGTGGGTTGCCAGATCATTTAGTATTCCAAGGCAGTTCCAGACAAGCTTTGACTTGATTCTTTTTGAATCAAGAGCCTTTAAGGCTGCTTGGCTATCTGACAGAATTAGGATGGTTTGTTTTTTGTACTTCCTTCTTAAATTCTCTCGTACACACAATTCGATTGCATGTATTTCAGCCTGAAATACAGTGGCATGTTTTCCCAGTGAGACGATGATGTCGCATTTGGGTTTAACTCCGTGTACGCCAGAGCCTGTTTCCTTGTTAGTTTTAGATCCATCCGTATACCATACGACACCGCTAAGCAAGTATTTATATATCTCCTTATTTACCTCGTTCCAGTTACAGTTGACCTGGAAGAGTCTGTTAAAGGTTAGGAGGGATGTCATGTGATCTGATCCCATATTTAATATAGAATCATTTACTTTGTGTTATTCTGATACATTTTATATGTCCCAGTGGATTCCAGTTGTT